AATTGCAATGGATTTTCATGTGACCTGAGACTACAGAGGTAGCCATACCAAGACTGGTAAACAAAACAGAGTTCAAATAACCTAGCTATGACAACAAAAACGGTTAGGAGACCAATACCTGAAAAAAGCTAAGCCGAAAACAAAACTCAAAAGAGGACAGGTTGGGGCTGATTTCGAAAGACTAAGAATACATAGTAAGAATTTCAGCTTCGTTTCTAGTCGAGCATGCCAACAGGACACGAGAAAATAAAAATTAAAGACCATACCAGCAAAGTAACGAGACTGATAAGTAAAGGTTAAAAGGTACATAACTTTCAGGAATGCAACTGAAGAAACATTTAAGCCAACAAGATTCAGCTCATTAATTTCTATCTTGTGAACTTGAACCAAAACTTCCTAGGACTACAATTGTTTGGTTTATAGCCGGTTGTATGTTTGCCTAGTGACCACTCAAAGAGGTCATGACAAGGGGCTAGTGTTGATTGAAAAGTTACCTATAAAATGTAAATTTTTTATAAACAAGTTTACAAAAGTGAGTTTAAGGCAAAATTATAGTGTATATTGATTGATTAAATACTTTTAAATATAGGATTGGGTAAAATATAGATTGCATCATGCATCATGCAGCATAGCATAAACAAACATAACCTCAAACTAGTAGAAAACTAGAATTGATTAAGTTTAATTTTGCAGGTGAAGAAATACCTCTGTGTTGATGTTGATGACACTATGGTTCAGCAATTGATCCCACACATCCAATATTCAACGGAAATTAAAGTATTTCTGTATTTTGAAAGCTTGAATTTGCCAAGGATTTCCTTATCATCCTTACAAGAAATTTTAAGAAAGACTCCCAGAATCTTTTCAAGGACATTTTAAGAAAGATGTCGACAATGTTGCTCCAAAAGATGCGGGAATCCTGAAATGCATGCAGTCTTTAAGGTATGGTTTGGGAATGTAGTGGACTTCGTATTCTTAAAAAATTTTAAAAAAATATTTAAAATTAATATTATTTTTTTAGTATTTTTTTATTGTTTTGATATATTAATATTAAAAATAATTTTAAAAAATAAAAAATATATTGTTTTAATACATTTCTAAATAAAAATTACTTTTAAAAACAACACCAAATACATCCTTAACACTCCTTGAATTTTATTTTATTTTTGTTTTTTATTTCAAATAACAAGGTTCACACGGCAAAGGCTGTGGCTAGAGAAATCAAAATATATTATTTTAATATATTTTTAAATAAAAATTATTTTAAAAAACAACAACAAATACACCGTTAACACTTCTTGAATTATTTTTTTTGTTTTTTATTTCAAATAACAAGATTCACACGGCAAAGGCTGTGGCTAGAGAAACCATAGCCTTAGCGTGTCCATAGCAACAGAAGGAAACAGGGCGAAGACCACAAGTTTTGGCCTATAGACAACACCTCCTTTGTTAAATTGAATGTTCAAAAAAAGCGATATCACAACATTTACAGCTACTAGACCAAAAACAGGCTTACTTGAATGAAAAAGAAACTTTTATCGAAATGCAAAATGGTGAAATACCAGTATGCGCATTATGTGAAAGTCTGCAATCTGTTAGCAGCAGAAGGTATTGCCAAAATGTTATACTTTGCCTTTAGGAAGGGAAGCAGAGGACAGTGGTTGTAGAAAGAGTGGCCCTTCAGTCCGCACCTCTTGAGCATGAAGCAATGGCTGTCTGATTGTATGAGCTTTACCAATTAATCCCGTCATAGTGCTTAATCTCAACATCAGTGAGAGTCCCTTGGTCAACGCATCTGAATGTAACTGCGACCCCATCTGGATTTGATCGTGGAATGTAAAATGAAGTTATGCCACAAACCTTACAGAATGTTTGCTTTGCCGTATGCGTGACAAAGGTGCAGGTCGTAAGGAATTCTTTGGGATCTCCCAGAAGCTCAAACTTTTCAGAAGGGATAATGAAGGATATGTTGCCCCTCATGGAACAATCTGAACAATTGCATTGCCAAGCTACAAACACTACTTGGTGCTTGGACTCGCCATCTTGCTCTCCTGCAATGACATCCTCCGTTGTGCTCTACTGTATCTGATTCCATTTGAGAAAGCACTGGTTTTTCAGAGGTGCAACGGGTAGATGGTAGCTTCTTCTGGATGACTCTGTTGGCAGCAATCAATTAACAAATATGTAAGCATTATCAGTCAGCATTGGAGTAACAAGAAATCAAAAATACAGTCCCCAGTCTGATGAATGTGTCAACTGAAATAAATTCTCTTGGAAAATGCAGATATGAGTCCCGTCGTGTAAATATAGAGTTTACTTGATTCGTAGCCTGCAGAGGAGGAGGTTGTTTCAAATTACATGACTTAGTGTATAAGCTTATCAGTGATGATGGCAGGCCAAGTACGACTTTATATAATATCCAACAAGCAATCATAATTTCTTGCAAAGCGATGAGAATTCACTGAAAACAACTGCTTATGCCAGATCAGGTTTAAATTGGTTAAGGAAACAAGAAAGGAACTAGTCCAGATGACAGCCTGAAACCTAAACTTCTAGATTTTAGTAAAATACATTGAATGCTGATTACAATTGCCCAATTAGTGAATAACAAAGGAAAGATGGAAAGATGGAAAGAGAAATGAGGTCTGATTGCCATTTTTCTCATGCATCCTTAAATATTCAGCAGTAAGATGCTAAGGTCTTATAGATCACCCAAAGTCACCTAGCACTTTTCAATACCTCCTATCAACACACTTTATAACCCACTTAGCCAAGACAAATTCTTTGGATTTCAGTCTACTTCGTCTACACTCCTGCTATGCTATGCAGCATAAAAACAAGCCCAGCAGAGCATTCACTGAATCCAAATCCCAATTATTTGAAACTCTTCGAACGTTAAACCCCATTGCGCCCACCCATCCTTCCACCCTCGATATAGCTCAAAATCAATACCCTTTTATCAGAACCCACCAATAATAAATCCAAATGCAATCACCATAAAGATTCTTCTTCACCAAATCAAACACTTACAATAAGATCCTGCTACTCCTATCACCTCCTCAAAAGTAGACTTATCAATCACTACGGTGGCATTTGTTTACTCTCTCAAGACAGAAAAAACAGATTCAATGGGGATAGAGGAGATAAAGAAGATGTCTCCATGTACTTCTTGTTTTGAAAGTACAGTACAAACTGTCCCAGAAATATAGATTTATTTTATATCTTAGTCTGTCTCTTTAACCAAATACGTTTACATCTCTTTTGCATTTGTATCCTATATCTTGAGATACTGAAAACATACAGCTGCTTTTCCAAGAAGCAGCTACAAAACTTCCCTTACACCTAATGACACAACCTTCAAGCAATCTCCCCTAAGAAAATTTACCAATCTACGTGTAAAACAGCTAAACAAAAGATGCCCATCTTCAAATGCCTCATCCACCGCCAACAAAATCCCTCTAGAGCTCCCTAGTAGCTGTCGAAGCATGCATTTAGTTTTAACGTTTTCAGTTAATAATCTCTTGATTGTTGGGGTAAGTTGTTAATGCAGAATATTATTTGAATTGGTCTAGATTTCTTAGCATGTTTTTAGGAAGTATTAACGTGAAGTTTGTTTTTCTGTTTTTCCTCTGTAAAGGCTTATATATATAGCCATTAGTGACAGAATAAAGTGCACTTCATCTTTTAAATATTGTGAGTTATCCATTTATGAGAAGCAGGAGAGTTAACAAATGATATCCGAGCTATCATCAAAGGAGCCTGATTGAGTGTTCTAAAAAACTACAGTTTCTTAAGGAAGAAGCATGAGTGAGTCATCAAATAAAAGGGAGAGTGGAGAATCATGGCAACAAAAAACAACAGCTTTGTTCAACTGGCGATTCCACGGTTCGATGGTCATTACAATCATTGGGTTATACTCATGGAGAATTTTCTGAGGTTAAAGGAGTATTGGGACTTGATAGAGAATGAGATACATGTAGCAATAGAAGAAGCAAGAGACACAACGTAAGCTCATTGCAGATTTGAAACTAAAAGATTTAAAGGTTAAGAACTATTTATTCCAAGCTATAGATAGAAATATTATTGAGGCATTCTCAATAAGGAGACTGCAAAGGCTATCTGGGATTCAATGAGATTAAAATATTAAGTCCCTATAAAGGTGAAACGTGCTTAGTTACAGGCTTTGAGAAGGGAATTTGAGATTCTTGGCATGGAGGGTGAAAAGGTCAATGAATACTTTGCTAGAACACTGATCATTGCAAATAAGATGAAAACACATGGAGAAAAAATGGAGCAAAGTGTGATCATTGAAAAAATCTTAAGATCAATAAATTCAATTATGTTGTGTGTTCAATTGAAGAGTCTAATGATCTATCCATTATGATCATAGATGAACTTCAGAGCAGTTTGTTGGTCCGCGAACAGAGAATGCATGGACAGAAGGAGGAAGAACATGTTCTGAATATCATTAATTCAGAAAATGATAGAGAAAGAGATGAATACAAGTTTGAAGGAAGAGGAAGAGCTAGTGGGAATTTTAGAGGAAAAGTTCGAAGCAGGGGTAGGCAGCCTTTCAATAAAGCTCTTGTAGAATGTTTCAACTGTCATAGACTTGGTCACTATCAATATGAGTGTCCTCGTTTGAGAAATGCAACAAACTACACGTATTTGTAGAAGATGAGGAGATATTGTTAATGTCATACATTAAGATGAATAATTCAACAAAAAAAAATGAATGTCTGGTATTTAGACTCCGAGTGTAGTAACCACATATGTGGTACCAAAAGTTTTTTTAGACCTTGATGAAAGGTTGAGATAGTCTATGAAACTTGGAGACAATTCAAAAATGATAGTGACGGGGAAATGCAATATCAGACTTCAAATAGGTAACATGACTCAAGTAATCACTAAAGTTTATTTTGCACCTGAATTAAAGAATAATTTTTTGAGTGTTGGCCAACTATAAGAAAAAGTTCTCACCATTCGTATTCAAAATGGGATGTGTAATATTTATTATCCAAATAGGGGATTAATTATGCAGTCCAGAATGTCAACAAATAGAATATTTGTTGTGTTGACTTCAGTAATGCCTCAAGTATAACATGTTTTCAAATTGTGACTGAAGACAACTCATATTTGTGGCATTGTCAATTTGAACATCTTAGCTTCAAGGAATTAAGAACTCTTATATACAATAAAATGGTGAGAGGACTACCAAGTCTCCAAGCTTCATCAAAGGTGTGTTCAGACTGCTTGGTGGGAAAATGACATCGAGAAGTTATTCCCAAAATGAGCTTGTGGAGAGCTTTACAACGTCCTCAACTGATTCATACTGATATTTGCAAACCTATCAAACCTGAATCACATAGTCATAAAAGGTACTTAATCAATTCTATTGATGACTATAATAGGAAGACCTAGGTTTATTTCTTATCAGATAAATCTGAGGCCTTTAATGTATTTAAGAAGTTCAAAGCACTTGTTGAAAAAGAAACTAGTAATTCTATTTGTTGCTTATGCACTGATAGGGGTGGAGAATTCACCTCATTGGAATTTAATCAATTTTGCAGCACAAATAGAATAACTAGACAACTTACTACCTCTTACACACCCTAACAAAATGGGATGGCTGAGAGAAAGAATCGCACTGTCATGAACATGGTGCATAGCATGCTGTCAGGAAAATAGATTCCTAAGAAGTTTTGGTCTAAGACTGTCAATTGGGCGATACATATATTGAATTGAAGTCCAACTTCAGCTATAAAGGAGGTAACACCTGAAGAGGCCTGGAGTGGTAGCAAACCTTCCGTGCATTATTTTAGAGTATTTGGATGTATTGCTCATGTCCATATTCCATAAAAACAAAGATCAAAGTTGGATGATAAAAGTGAAAAATGTATCATGTTAGGTGTAGGTGAGGAGTCCAAAGCATATAGGCTATACAATCTGGTTTCAAAGAAAGTGATAATTAATAGAGATGTGGGATTTATTAAAGATGAGAAATGGGAGTGGGAAAGAAGTAATGAAGAGATAGAAGTTGATGTATTAGAGTGGGGTGTTAAGGAAGAAATCAGGACTCAAGAATCTGAAGAAGGTGTGAATGTTGAGATTGAAGAAGTAGACAGTGTGAATACTGAGATTGATGAAGCAGACAGAAGAGGTTTTAATTCTCCATCTGTAGGATTAAATGCAAATGCAGAAGGTTCTTTAAATCCAGTTCAGGGGAAGAATAGAAGAGAGCCTTTTTGGATGCAAGATTATGTGTCGGGTGAAGGTTTATTAGAAGAAGATGAAATTGAAAATTTGGTGATGTTCATTGCTTTAGAAGACCCTGCATGCTTTGAAGATGCTGTCAAGGGTTTGAAGTGGAGAGAAGCAATGAAATTAGAGATCAAAGCCATCGAAGAGAATGAAACCTAGGAGTTAACAACATTGCCAGAAGGAGCAAAGAAAATAAGAGTGAAATGTGTGTATAAAACCAAGCTTAACAAGAAGAGTGAGGTTGACAAGTTTAAGGCTCGTCTCATGGAAAAAGGGTTACTCACAACAGCATGGTATTAATTACAATGAGGTGTTTGCTCCAATGGCCACATGGGATATTATCATAGTGGTTATTGCTCTTCCAGCACAAAAGGGCTTGTGTGTGTATTAATTGGACGTGAAAAGTGCGTTCTTGCATGGAGAATTAAATGAAGATGTATTTGTTGATCAACCACAAGGATTCACAGAAAAAGATAAAGAACATAAGGTTTACAAACTTAAAAGAGCTTTGTATGGACTCAAGCAAGCTCCCTGAACTTGGTATAGCAAAATTGAATGATACTTTATTAAAGAGGGTTTTGAGAAATACTACTGTGTGAACACACACTGTTTGTGAAAACTGAAGATGGAGGTAAGATTCTCATTGTAAGCCTTTATGTAGATGATTTGATTTTTACTGGAAACAATGAGGACATGTTTGAAAGATTTAAGGAGTCAATGAAAAAGGAATTTGTCATGTCTGTTCTTAGTAAAATGAAGTATTTCCTTGGTGTAGAAGTCATACAGGATCATCATGGAATATTTATCAATCAAAAGAACTATGCTCATGAAGTCTTGGAGAGATTTGGGATGCTGAATAGCAACTCAGTGAAGAATCCAATCGTTGCAGGTTCTAAATTGTCAAAGAATGAGAGAGGAGCTGCTGTAGATACAACAATGTTCAAGCAAATGATAGGCATCCTTATGTATCTAACTGCTACCAGACCAGACTTGATGTATTCTATTTGTTTAATTAGTAGATATATAGAGAGACCTACTGAAATACATTTGCAAGCTGCGAAGAGAATTTTAAGATATTTGAAGGAAACGGCTGAGCTGGGGATTGCTTATAAAAGAGGTGGAGAAGAAGAATTAGTCAGGTTTGCTGACAGTGATTATGCAGGAGACATTAATGATAGGAAAAGCACTTCTAGATACACCTTCATGCTTGGAACTGGAGCAGTTTCTTGGCCTTCAAAGAAGCAACCAGCAACCAGTTATGACCCTGTCCACTACAGAGACTGAACTCATTGCAGCAGCATCCTGTGCATGCCAGGGAGTTTGGTTGAGACGAGTTCTTGAAAAGCTAGGACATATTCAAAGTAAATGCACAACCATTTTCTGTGATAACAGTTCGGCCATAAAACTGTCGAAAAATCCAATCATGCATGGAAGGAGCAAACATATAGATGTAAAGTTTCATTTTTTACGTGAATTGACAAAAGAGAGAACTGTAGAACTGGTGCACTGCAGCATATAAGAACAACTTTCTGATATAATGACAGCCTCTTAAAATTGAAAGCATTCTTAAAGCTGCGTAACAGGCTTGGTATGTGTTTGAAGTCAATAAACTAATTGCAGTTCTGCAGAAGAATTAGTCAGGTTTGCTGACAGTGATTATGCAGGAGACATTAATGATAGGAAAAGCACTTCTAGATACACCTTCATGCTTGGAACTGGAGCAGTTTCTTGGCCTTCAAAGAAGCAACCAGTTATGACCCTGTCCACTACAGAGACTGAACTCATTGCAGCAGCATCCTGTGCATGCCAGGGAGTTTGGTTGAGACGAGTTCTTGAAAAGCTAGGACATATTCAAAGTAAATGCATAACCATTTTCTGTGATAACAGTTCGGCCATAAAATTGTGGAAAAATCCAATCATGCATGGAAGGAGCAAACATATAGATGTAAAGTTTCATTTTTTACGTGAATTGACAAAAGAGAGAACTGTAGAACTGGTGCACTGCAGCACATAAGAACAACTTTCTGATATAATGACAGCTTCTTAAAATTGAAAGCGTTCTTAAAGCTGCGTAACAGGCTTGGTATGTGTTTGAAGTCAATAAACTGATTGCAGTTCTGCAGAAGAAGAATTAGTCAGGTTTGCTGACAGTGATTATGCAGGAGACATTAATGATAGGAAAAGCACTTCTAGATACACCTTCATGCTTGGAACTGGAGCAGTTTCTTGGCCTTCAAAGAAGCAACCAGTTATGACCCTGTCCACTACAGAGACTGAACTCATTGCAGCAGCATCCTGTGCATGCCAGGGAGTTTGGTTGAGACGAGTTCTTGAAAAGCTAGGACATATTCAAAGTAAATGCATAACCATTTTCTGTGATAACAGTTCGGCCATAAAATTGTGGAAAAATCCAATCATGCATGGAAGGAGCAAACATATAGATGTAAAGTTTCATTTTTTACGTGAATTGACAAAAGAGAGAACTGTAGAACTGGTGCACTGCAGCATATAAGAACAACTTTCTGATATAATGACAGCTTCTTAAAATTGAAAGCGTTCTTAAAGCTGCGTAACAGGCTTGGTATGTGTTTGAAGTCAATAAACTGATTGCAGTTCTGCAATTCAGTTTAAGGGAGGATATGTTGAATCATCCATTAAGTTTTAATGTTTTTCAGTTAATAATCCCCTGATTGTTGGGGTAAGTTGTTAATGCAGAATATCATTTGAATTGGTCTAGATTTCTTAACATGTTTTTAGAAAGTATTAACGTGAAGTTTGCTTTTCCGTTTTTCCTCTGTAAAGGGTTTTTCCGTTTTTCCTCTGTAAAGGCTTATATATACAGCCATTACTGACAAAATAAAGAGCGCTTCATTTTTTAAATATCGTGAGTTATCCATTTATCAGAAGCAGGAGAGTTAACAGTAGCAGCTTTGAAACCTAAGCTACAACAAGCCCCACAAAGACTTTCTCAATTCTTTGCTAATCTAAACTCCAACATAGTTTCCCGGGGAAATTAACATCATTAACATCTATAAAGTCCAAACCAGCATGCATCTAACTGAATTTAGCAGATAGTAGCAGACAGAAAAACAGTATAAGTTCAAGCAACAAGTGCCTTTGCATGTCCTAAAAAAATACAAGATTATCAGCATCATGGCAAAGAACTAGAGAAGGGAATTTACCTGAGAAGCGTTCAATTCTGCTGGCTGTTGGAAAGGCTCAGGTCAACTCAAGTTCCCAATTGCTGGCACAAATGCTGCTTCTGATTGTCTGAAAATGAATCAAATTTCAGTTACAATCGTGGGTTTTTTTGGGACAAAGTTCTTATGGATTCATGAGTGTTTCTCAGCCCAAGGACTCATAATGAGCATAAACCCTAACAAATATTGGGTGAAGGGTTTTGAAACCCATGGCAAAAGGCCTAAGCCATAATAAGGGGTCCAAGACATGGCCTAATAATATGAGCTCGCTAATTTTACATGACCATTCTTCCCAAAATTACTTCTCATCAGATTAATAAATCTCATGGTTGAGATTTGTTGCGTCCAAATTTTTTTAAGAAAAAATCTAAAACATATGTCTTAATTAATAATTTTAGTTAATTTTAATCATTTTTTTATTTTTTCTTTTTATTTAATTTTTGTGTAAAAAATAATAAATCATGAAAAAAATAAAAAACACAATATATATATATATATAGCTCAAGTTGAAATTGGATAAATGCTTTAGCATAAAAAAAATAAAGTTCGATAATTTTTTGGATCACAATTAAGGGTTTTAAGATTGAAAAAAAAATCTTATAGGAAAAAAATCAATAATTTTCAATCAACTTATTATAGAAGAATAGAATTGAAAAAAAATCAATTTAAAAAATAATAGAATAAAACAATTAAAATCTACCCTGGTTAACTCACATCATAAGATCGAGATAACTTTGTAGAAAATAAATCATAACAAATCATGAAATTTAATTCTTAATCAATTTAATGTTGAATAATGAATTTTTAAAAAAAAATTCATCAATTCAAAAAACATTTGAATCAATCATATTAACTTATCAAACCTGCAATATATATCATGATTTTTGAATAACCTCATAAAAATAAATCATAAAAGATCTTAAAGCTCTATCCCTAATAAACCAAATGTTAAAGAATAAAATTAAAAAAATATATAAAAAAAATAAAACACAAAATATCATTACAATTAATAAATAAATACTAATCAAATGTTAAAGAATAAAATTTAAAAAATATAAAAAAAAACAAAAAACAAAATATCATTACAATAAATAAATAAATAGTATTAAGTGACGTGATGTGATGCAGTAAAAGCACCACTTTTAAAAGTTGTTTTTTTGTTAATTTTAATAAGATTAGATATTGGTATAGGACAAAAAAGTAAGTGTAAATCATCATCCTTCTCAATGCCATTTATTTCTTCAAGTCTATGTACAGCTTCTCCTATTTTAACAACTTTCATAGTGGATAAGCATCCTTAAAGAGATATGACATAGGATAGCAAGAAGGTCGTGCCATGGCTTGCAAAATGTGGTCCAAGGAGCATGGTGAGGCATTATTTTGAATGACTTAAAATATTCATAAAGACCGGAAGATGCTGACTTTACAACTAGTTGATGAACACTTTGATGCCAACAACATCATTTTGTTTCTTGTCCGTTCTTGTTGGAGGTGACGACAACTCTTTCATGACTCTATCTTATGGAGTTGGGAAATTTCCATCATTATTGCATAATATTATACTAGTTTATCTTATTCTTTACATTTCATATTTGAAGTTTTTGTAATTATTAAGCAGGAAGTGAAAGGGGACACGTTTCTTTGTTTTTTTAATTTAAAAAATACAGAAATTTATTCTGATTTTTTTATAAAAATATTTTTATTTTTATTTTTATCTCTTCAACAAAATATAATGTTTGTACTAGTTTATCTTATTCTTTACATTTCATAGTTGAAGTTTTTGAAGTAATTAAGTTGCAAGTGAGAAGGGACACTTTTTTTTTATTTTGAAAATGCAGAAATTTATTCTAAAATTTTTATAAAAATATATTTATTTTATGTTTTTATTGCCATCTCCTCATCCAAACACAATGTTTTTCTCTCTTCTGTATTTTTTTTATTATAAAACACTAACCAAGCACAATATTAATTACTGTTTTGAATTAATAAAATGGTTGTCTTTTAAAAAATAATTAATAAAAGCTGGATGGATAGGACTATATCTATGCATTTTGTACGTAGCTCAAGAGTCAATGTATCTATGGTGGGTGGGTGTGTGTGTGATTGTTTGGTGCCAAATCATTGATATTTTATTTTTTAAGAAGTAATAAATTATTTTAATTAATATTCCTCTAATGGTAATGATGGATAGAGAAGCATACCTCAGTGAATTTTTTAAAAAAAAAGAGAGAAGAAGGGAAAACAAGGCACGTGTTGTCATATGATATATTATTTATTTGACAACACTTTCTAGGTGAGTGGACAAAGGCCAACATACAAATTTCATAGTACAAAATGCTTATTTGATTTATTGTGTGCCTATGTGCTTATCCCCAGTTCCCTGTTAGCCCATCAATCAGGTTGGTAATCAGTCTGTGTATACGCACTAGGAATACATACCAATTATTTTTTTTATTTTTTTTTACTCTTGTCATACAGCGGGTTCAATTTTTTTTGGTAAAAAAAATTGAAAAAATACTGTATATATATATATGAAGGAGTAAAACTTAGGCATGATGACAGAAATATAAAATATATAAATAGTGACATGCTAGACAAGATGTTTTTCTAAAAAAATATTGAGATGTTTATATACTATATTAGTTTGGATTAATCATTATTAACTTATAAAATTTATAATCTAATATATGAAATTAATATAAAAATATAAAATTTATACCAAGACAAATTAGAAAGTCTAATTATAATTAATTAAATATTAAATTTTTAAAATAAAATAAATATATAAAATTTAAAAAAAAAAAGACAAAATAACATGACTCCAATAAACCTACATTAGCAGCGGGCACAACAATGCACGGGAAGGAAAAAGAAATTGAATGTAAAAGGAAAAATATTAAGGTGATGCTTTAAAGAACCAAAAGAAAATTTTGGTTAATTTAATAATATATATATATATATATAAAGCAACCCTAATTTAACAACATGAAAATTAAAGTATATCCGGGTAAATCTTCTAAACTTGAGTTAATATTCTAAAATCATAACCTATGAAATTTTAGACCCGAACTTAATCAAGAAGATCATTTCTAACTAGTTTAATATTGAAGGATAAAATTAGAAAAAAAAATTAATTTTATAAATCATCTTAAATTAAAAAAAAAATTAAAGAATGGAGACTAAATTTGAGAGTTGAAAAGAGAAATAAAGAATGATGAGATTGAAAATAATTTTCAATTTGAAGTAATTTTTTCAAATAAAAAATTATAATTAAAAGAACATGGATTAAATATAAAAAGGAAAGAAATTGAAGGGCGGATATGATTTTTTCAATAGGCAGTAAGAAAATCGAGGTAAAAGAGAGAAAAAACAAAAGGAGAAAAAAAATGAACTTGTGCCAAACCAAGCCGAATCACCATGTACTCGTCACCCAAAAAGACAAAAGATACTGAGATGAATCAAATGATACGATGAAAGCACGATTACACCATTGAAGTTAGCCGCATTCGCCACCCTAAGGCAATGAAGTGGCTGACACGTGTTTTGTAAGTGTCAACAATTTATTTTATTTTATTTTACTTTGATAAAGATGAAAAATACTCGTATAACTAAATGATAATACCCAAAAACCATTATGAAATTACTGTTGAACCTTAAAATCAAGGCTAGGAAAATTTAATGGAAAAGGCAATAAAGTCATTATATTGTTTATAGTAAAATAAAACTCCTATAAAGCCCTTAAACCTAATGGCAATTTTTTTTTTTTTACTTTAAAGGTTAATACTATAGTTTAAACATTATAAAAATTAGAACTAATAATGTGTTTCCCAAACCAATAAAGAATGACAAATTAACCTCATAAAAGATCTTTTAACTACTCAAAGTCAATTCATCCTTTTTTTTAGGGGAAAATCATAGTTTTACAATTACAATCCACAGTAAATCAAGGCATGTGTGTATAATGGTTTTCCTACATGTCATGATAAAACCATGAAACTTATGACGAAACAAATTAAAAAGTCCAGTTATAATCAATCAAATATTGAAAGCTAAAATTAAAATACACATATACATACATATTTGCTTTCAATTAACCAAACCATCTTTTTCTTCTTTAAAAATCTTAGCATCGCCTTAACATTTTTTTTCATACAACCATAAAAAAATTCTACAGACCACGTTGTTATGTCTAGCGTCAATATAGGTTTACTCGAGTTAATTAAAAACCATGAAACTTATATCGAAACAAATTAGAAAGCCCATTTATAAGCAATCAACTATTAAAAGCTAAAATTAAAATACACACACATATAAAGGCAACTTTAATTTTAATAATATGAAAAATAAAGCAACCCTATGCCATGTGAGTCTTTTAAAGTTGAGCTAATATTCCAAAATCATAACCCATGAAATCTCAAACGGAAGAGTAATCAAGAAGGTCAATTTTCAACCAATTTAATTTTAAAGGATAAAATAAAAAATTAATTTTAAAAACTTGTCAAATGATAAAATTAACAATTAAAAAAATAAGGGTAAAAATTAATAGAAAAAAAGAGAGGATAAAATCACAAAAATAAATCAATTTTATAAATCACCTTAAATAAAAAAAAAATAGCAATCAAAAGAAATCACCTTAATAAAAAAAAATTAACAATTAAAAGAATGAACCAAATTAGAGGGATAAAACAATTGAAAAATGATGAAATTAAAAATAATTTTTAATTTGAAATAATTTTTTTAAATAAAAAAAATTAGAATTAAGAGAACTTGAACTAAATCAAAAAAAAAAATTAAAGGGCTGGTGTGATTTTTTCAATGAACAGCATGCAAATTAAGGTGAAAGAGAGAAAAGCATAGGAAAAAAAAAAGTAAACTCGCACCAAACCAGACCAAATTACCATGCATGCACCACCTAAAAAGACAGAAGGTGTCAAGATGAATTAAATGATGTAGTGGAAGCACAACGATAATCATTGTGAAGTGACTAATGCATTATTTTTTCCATTGTTATTTTATTTTATTTTAAAAATAATAAAAATTCTCCTAGGCTAAAATGATAACAATAAAAATTCCATTATGAAATTACTACTAAGTTCATGAAGTCAAAGATAAATTTTTTATGATAACAACAATGGAGTCATTATATTGTCTATAATAAAATGAAATTCTTATAAAACTTCTAAACCCAAGGTTAGTCTTTTAT